GGATATAGCCACGTAAATTTTTTATTTTTTAGCGCCATACAAAAATTTAAGTATATTTAATTTGATTATAAAAAAAAATTCATAATTATAATTATTAATTAATAATTTGTAAAACAATTAAAATCTCACGTCTCTCCCTTATTGTACCATTTAAAAAACGAATAAAGTGCAAGTCCCCATGCTGGCATGCTCTAGATACAGTAGACAAATGCAACCTATTCGTTAGTACTGGGAGGGTACTTGCCCCAAAGGACAGGGTCCCTTTGCTCTTTTGAGAACGACAGTGTCCTCTGTTTTCCCCTTTGACAAAAACAACTCAGACGGTGGCTATTTGGGTTTATTCACACTCCTTTCACTGAGGCATGCACCATAAAGCCTAACTTCTTCAGGACATTTTCTCAAATCCCCTTGGATGGGTGTGGATCCCATTCGAAGGAGCTCCATGATTTACACAAAGGAGAAAGGGGAATGATCAAATGAGTTAAAAAGCCAAGATAGTTGACTGATATGATCAAAATGGATTGGTCATTTGGGGCACTATAGATTTCCCAATTAGATGGGGCCATTTAGTGAAAAAAATCCAAAGAAGGGTTTGGTACTTTGTTACAAAGTTTTCATTTCCCTTTTTTTAAATTTATTTATGTATATTTTTTGCACCATTCATTTTCTTTCATAGATGTTAATAATTCAATATAAATTAAAAGATGATAAATTTGAGATATAGAATGTAAAAGTAAGGTGTATAAATATGGATGTGAGTCATATATAATTTTTTTTTAACCTCAAGAGAAAGAATATAATTCTAATTATTGAGATTGTTGTTTTTAATTTTGAATGATTATCAAAATTAAGTGTAAATTAAATATTTTGAAAACAAGTTTTCAAATTCAAGGGGCATGTTAATGTTTTCAAACTTTAAGATTTTTACATTTATATTTGGAAATAAGTTCATGAAATAATTTATACTTTCCTTTTCTTTTTGAAGAATATGAACCATATCTAGAATTTCTTTAATATATTTCCTTTGACTAAAATTGAGTTTTTATGTTTGAATATTACATCCATGAAATTCTCAAATTCTGCAAATTTTAAACTTTTGTAATTATGAACAGATTTTATTGTATAAAGATTGCCTAAATTAAGTATTTTAATTTGCTATAAAGTTCTAGAACATATTTGCTCTGTCTTTCTCACAAATGCAGGAAATTTTAGAACATATCAACGAGTTCCATAACTTTCAGTTGAATCTTGAAATTAAATGAAATCGAGTACTTTCCATTCTATGCTACAAAGGCTAGTTTGGCTTAAATATGCACATGAGGATTTAAAAGAATATTTTGAAGAAGGCAGTAGTAATTGAGAGAAAAACCCTAAGTGCAGATTTGTGGAAAAG